TCAAATAACGTTTAGTATCATATTCTGATCTATAATGCAGTTCCAGAGTACGTAGATTAGTCGTTTGCAAAAAGACAAAGATGAGTTGAATTGAATGGTTCAGTATAATACTAAGTGATTTTATTTGATGCCAAACAACGATAGATGGTGATAAAGAAAGAAATTCATCGTTGATGTGATCATAATAGTCACTGATAACAATCCTATTGCAACAAAACAACTTATTATTGAAGGTATGACCTTTGTATGGTCATCGACTTCTTCTAAATTAAACAAAAAAAAAACTTTCTATTTATACCCATGCACAGTTTTATGTAGATAAGAATAGACACATAAATATTCATCGCTTCTTGGTACTGTTATAGCTCTAATAGGGTGTATATGTGGGTGTTCAACAAAAAAAGACACTCATACCCACACCTAGCTCTTCTACTCACAACTATCGTTAGTGCTGCAGCTGTGAATGGCTTATTTGGCTTACTTGTCGCAGATGACGATGTGCCACTAGCATATCGTTTTAAATTTTTCTTGTCCATTTTAATGATAATGAGGATGATAGTGATGGCCTCCGGATTCTTTTTCAATTTGCGTAAATGAATGGAAACATGGATATTTGTTGCACACTTTATGAATCAGCAAAAAAAAACATTTCGTCTCTATCTTGAGTGTGAGTGAAAGAAATACCAACACACAGGCCTACATGCAAATTCACACCCACACTCACATCCTGAGTGGGCGTTGGGGTGGCTCTCTTCAGTGTCATCTCACCTCCACACCCCATACCCATACCCAATGTCAATCATTTTGTTTTTTTTTTTGATTATTTTAGAATAAAAAAAAGCTAAAATATCAAATAAAGATGATGAATCAATTGAAATGGTATATTCAAAATCATGTCTTGATTTAAATATGGATATGGAAACAAAGTTAGATGCATGGCGTTCATATGAACATATTCGTAAACATTATGTTTTAGAAGGTGATCAATTACATTGGTTAGCTATTTCATTATATGTATCATGTAGAAGATATAAACATCTAACAACAAATCAGAATAATCCAATATCAATATTACGTTTATTAAAAAGTGTTAATCATTTAAAATTATTTGTTTCTTTTGATAAATTACATAAAGAAATCGATCAAGTGTTGAACATGTTTTTAATATATGATCAATTATATTTGAAAAATATACAAAAATATTTATTGAAATATTTGGTGGAAATCAATATAAAAGAACATCAAATCAAATAAATCCTAAATTAAATACAAAAAATAAATAAAATAAATGTTCACATCAAGATTTATATTCACTTATATGGACAATATAAGCATTAGCTAAAACAATTTATCCATCAACTATCAATGATCTTATTGCTTCATTTCATTTACTTATTTCTAGTTTTTTCTTTTATTTATGATTATGTCAATTTACTTTTTAAAACTCGTTGAAATTCTTTAAAATAAAAATCTATTTCATAATATGGATTTTTATTTAAAAGTCTTTGAGATAAGATCTGAAACAAATTAAATTTTCGATAGTTCGATATAGAATTAAATTAAATTAAAATATTTTATTTCGAGATTTATCAATATATTATTAAATAAAAA